GAGGGCGTGATGGCGTCACGACGGCGGGGCGGGGCCTAGGCGCGGCACCGTGCCTGTCGCTATAGCAACCGGGACAGCTACCTGGCGGACTCGCGGGTTCAATCCTCCTGAGGCCGGAACAGAGTGGCCCGAGACGTGGCCTCCTCACGCCTGAGGCCTGAGGAGCAAAGATTGTGAGGTACGCGGCGCGCTGGCTTTGCCTGCCAACCTTGGAGCCAACTTATGAAGGACGCAATTGCAGGTAAAGGTAGTCAGTGTTGAAAAGGACTGTGTGCAGGCGCGGTGAGGGACTCGCTCTTAGGTACGGCGCCCGGACGGGTTCTCTCTTTCTTACCCCGCTCAGCCCCGCTCGAAGCCTCAAAACCAGGTGCTCCCCGTGGTAGGATTGCAACTGGTAGGCCAATCAAATCCTCCTATTATTGCCCCCTTCATGAAGGGAGGGGTCGCGAGAGGGTCATTTTCAGAAACAAACAAATAAGGACAGTTAAAGAGGTGGTAAAGACTGACTCTTAAAAGAGGAATTTAAACCAGGCGCTTTAGCACACGCTGTAATCCCACCACTCGAGTGCAAATTCGAGTCCTGTCAGGGCAACTAAGCGCTAACGTCTTAGCAAGACTAGCTCCCACATAAAAAATTTTGAAAAGAATGAAAGAACTGGATGCCTGGAGGAATGAGGCGAGAAACTTTTCCCTCGCGGTCCTTTCAGACTTTATTTCTTTTGTATCCTCCACCCCCCCGCCAAAATTTATTTATTTTTATTTTTTTGGCGTCATTGGGGATTAAACCCAGGGCCTTCTTCTTCAGACCTTTTGTTCAAATTTACAAATTTTCAGACAGTGTCTTTAAGTCTTTGAACTTCCAAATTGTATGCCAACAGTTACAATGTGTTCTATTATCAAATACTGTCAAAGAGGTACTTCTTGGATTTTATCAAAAGCAAAAAATTGGAAATCACTGAACTTGCAAAAGGATTTACTAGTCATCAGAATCTCAGCTTTGCTGGGGATTTAGCTCAGTGTTCCGCCACCTGCCTTGCAATTGCAATGACCTAAGTTCGATCCCCGGTACCAAAAAAAAAAAAAAAGAATCTCAACTTTAATTTTATGAAAAATTATATTATCTGTTACCTTTTCACTAAAAGATACCTTGTTAAACAGATACTGTGTTCCATATTCCTTTTTTTGTGGTGCTGGATATTGAACCCAAAGCCTTTGCACTGAGCTACATCCCCAACCCTTTTTTATTTTTTTATTTTGAGACAGTGTATCGCTAAATTGCTGAGTTGTCCGGGCTACGCTTGAATTTGCAGTCCTTCTGCCTCAGCTTCCTAGAGAGCTGGGATTAAAAGTGTGCATGACCATTCCAGCCAATATAGGCTTTTAAAAAAAATACATAAAATTCTTTTAGCATTACCTTCTTTCAGGATCTTTTTGTTAAAAGTTTGAAGTGCAGATTCAGACCATTCACTGTATAAAAACATTTTCCATTTGTGGAATTGGCAACTCAATCTTCCTTTTAAACCAAATCAGACTTACTGTCAGGAAAGTCTGACTTGATTTAATTTGAATAAATATGTTAATATTTACCTTGAAGACTATATAAAATCACTTGGAAATAAATTATCAACTGTAGTTTGTAAAATATATTACTAAAAACCATCAATATTAAAAATATAGAGCTAATATTTACATAATAAATGATAAAAACAAGATAGTGCCATATGGTATATAGCTAAAGCTATCTGTTTTGAGAAATGAGATAGAAGGCATGTTATCTCCTTGAAAAGTGTGTGGGCCTGCTTATGTTCCAACTTCCGGGAACAATGAAATAACAATCTTGTCTTAAAAAGTCGGGAATAACTCCAATAATTTTGTTAGACTTCATGATTAAACTTTCTTATGTGTTAAAAAAAAGATTTCATAAACAATGGGGCTGGGGACCGGGGATTTGGCTCAGTGGTTCTGCTGCCTGCCTCGTAAGTGCAAAGGCCCAAGTTTGATCCCCAGTACCAAAAACAAACAAACAAGCAAACAAAGAAAAGAAAACAATGGGACTGAGAAGCTAGCAATAGTAGGAGGTAAAATTAAACATTTTGAAAGATGAAATAAGCCAAGGGCAGCTGGATTGTCCCCCTTGTTGGTGTCTCACTGTGGGAACATCAGTTATAATCAGAAAGTGTGGGTCTTGAACAGAACTATTGTCTTTAAGCTATAATAGCCAAATAGGCACTGTCTGGAATATAATAGATTAGTAATTGTGGCATCTGTTTTTGCTATAGATGTTAGTAAGGGAAGTTCAAGATTCTGGTAGGCCAGCCCCATGTATTTTCTGATGAGATCGATTTTTCCTTGTTCCTCAAGTCATACTCTTAAATGGGTATATAATTTAGCTATAGGCCGGGGATGTAGCTCAGTGGTTCCACTGCCTCCCTCGCAAGCTCAAGGACCAGAGTTTGATCCCTGGTACCAAAAAAAAAACTATAACTTAGCTATTAGATCCAATAAAATTTCATGCCATCAATTTACATAATCCCATTAAGTTGCCTATCATCTTTGAGCCTAGCACTTGGGACTGCTCCTTTATAAGAGATTAAAGGCTGCTTTTCTGTGCTCTGTAGGAAAAGTGATGGTAGTAACTGGGTAATCTGTATTCTCTTTGGTGGCTAGGAATGTGTTACATAAAAGGAGACTATAGGATCGCCCTCAGTGCTAGAGGTGGGACATCTTAACCAGGTAAGTGTCTGAGCCACCAGTGGCCTGGCCAGCCTTTGGGAACCATACTGTGATGGGGAGAATACTCTAAATTTCCTTCACGCCTTAGATCCCTCTCAGGTGGTGATTCTTGATACCACTTTTAAAAGCAGCTAGAGAGACACATCCTTTCAAATTCTAAGATCATTAGGAATAGAATGAATCCTCCCAAAAATGTGGGCAAGTTTTATCTGGAAGCCAGAAGACATTTTATCCACAAGGCTTTTTCTGGCTGTAGGTTAAGCTACTGAGATAGAGAAAAAGATGCCAGGCTGAAAAGTTTCATTTAGTATTTTAATAATAATAATAATAAAAAAGACAATACAAAATCCAAACATTTCTTTTTACAAGTTCAGATACATATTTTCCCCAAGTGCAAAATACTCTATGAACTGCATCATTTGCTGTTTATGTTGGTTGTGTAGGAGATGCTTAATCTATTGGCAGCAGTGGAAGCCAGATATAAATATAATTTTTTGAGATTTCTTCTGCATTAAAAAAAAAAGCCTCCCACATGGTGATATTATTCTCTGAAAAACTTCAGTTCATTTTACACAGAATAAAGTTTTTAGTTTGTCCAAACTGCTGTAGTCTGTGTTGTCCAGATAAGCTGATAACAGTACTGGGGACTCTATTTCCCTCTAATCATGTATTTTCTTAAGGAATATTTCCTAGTCCAAATAATGGCCCAAGGACAAGCTGTGCTACCTTTAAAATAGATCAAATTGAAAGGAACCCTTGGCATTTGTTTCCATAAGAAAAAGACTAGGCAGGTATCATTTTCTGCTTATGGCCAGTTATACTATTTCTATCCACCTCCTTTGAGGCTCTCATATTGAGGTAAAGCAGCAAATATAAACATCTGAAGGTTCTGTAACATTCTCTGACATTGAGATGTGACCTCCTAATCCATTCCAGAATTACTTCAAACACGCGTATGGAGAACACTTCTGGGACATAAAAAAGTTTCATTGGAGCCAAAGACAGGACTGGATTACTGACCTTTTGGCCCAAATCTGAGTCTCCTTGGCTTCATACTGGCCAAGTCAGAGCAGACAGCTCAGTGATGAGCCTTTGGGGATTTCTAGGCAGGCGCTGGGCTGCTCAAGTCCAGGCTCTGGTCATTTTTCTCCTGATTCTGAGAATTCTCTCAGATTTAGGAATGGGCCTGTTCTGATGACACCGAAAGATAAAAGTTGCAATGTCACGAAGGATATAAGGATATGATAGGCATCATTTGGCGCTTGGGCCCTTGAGGAAATAGTTTCCCATTCTCAGACTCAGATCAGAGAAAGTTTGGTACTAAAATGAATGAGGCCTCAGTTCTGTGGCCCCACAAACACCTTACTCTGCAGGGAGGCTTCTGGGTCAGTTTGTGAAGGGTTCCTAGATATACCTTCCCTTTTCCCTTCACTGGTAAAGACTCTTGTCTGACCTGTAAATCCCTACAGAGTCCCTGAGTACCGACTCTATTCAGTCCCCTTAACCACTAGTGTGATGCCCCAGGTGTTTCCTCTTTAGGGTCTGCAGCAGCTTGCCTAGATCCTAATCCCTAACTTTGATGACTTAAATGTGGTGGACAATAGCAGCTCTTCACCTGCTCACCAAGACCTGACTTGGTGTCAGTTAAGAAACCCAGTAGTCTATAGGCTCCATATGGTGGAATTCATTTTCAGGCCCCACAAACCATGAAATAAGTGCCTGGAGGAAGCGTATCTATGCATATGTGTGGTGTGACAGGAAAGGATGGGAGCAAGGAGAAGCCAGACCCTGAAAGGCATCATTTGAGAAGCACCTCTATTGTTTGGCTTCCCCAAACAGATGCAGAATGGAAGAGAGGAACCTAGTTTCAGGTATGGAAATAGGATGATCAAAGTTGATTCAAGCATTTCCCTTGCTTGGACACAGCCATTTAACAACTTTATGGTGGCCCTCTTTGACCAAGAGAGATGAAGATGGCAGACCCTCTATGCCCAGATGTCAGAGGATCTAGCTGTGCCACCTACTACCTACTGCTAAGGCTTGTTTTGGCTGGTGAATGTTATTGACCAAGGCTGCTGCCCACAGCCTAAGGCCAGAGGTGGTTCCAAGTCCCTTTATTTAGTGTTGAATCTCTTGGGGGAACAGTTGTCTGGGAGAGTCACCTGAAACTGGACCTGAGGAGTCAGCTGATAGCCTTTGAGCAGGACTACAGCTCTCGGGAACTAGAAAGAGCAAATGGAAAAGGATTTTACAGGCAGCAGTTTGACTAGGGTAGAGTGTGTGCAGGGTTTAGGTTTGGACTTGATTCTTCTTCCTTTTGAAAAACAGTAGTTGAGGCAGGTTTGAAGCCAACTCTAAGAGGAAAATGGCCAAGGTCAGGCAAACATCTGTTCCCGTTACCAGCTTCATGCCTGGGCGACTGTCCTACTCTTGCTCCTTCAGCCATGTCTGTGGCCTCAGAAGCCTGAGTCAGCCCATCACCGGGGATCTGTGCCAGTCTTCTTCCATGTGCACACTGGGGAAAACATGATGAAGACAGGGAAAAGGTGGAGGTTTTCCCTTCTTGGAGTGGAGAATCACTGATCAGGTTCATCATCCTCTGTAGTCACAAGGTTCATGCTGAATCCACGGAGAGGCACAGCAACAGCAGGATTGGATTCGTGAACACATCCCTCTCCATCCTGCTCCATCAAGTCCCCAGAATCCCTGTCCTACACGTCAGATGCCTCTGAGCTGTAGCCCTGGGTTGGCCCAGCCAAGGGCCCTAGAGGTCTGAGTGGCCACAGATGAAACAGATCAGATGCTCCAGCACTCAAGGTTCATGAGATTCAGAACTGATACTCTTCCACTCTGTACATACACTCTTCTCTCTTGGACAGCTATAAATAGGGTTGTTCTAATAGAGAAAAAGGAAACAAAAAACAAAAACCCCTCCCTCTAGACAACATAGAAAGACTCAAAATGATTGCACTTATTAGATGTGGACGGGTGGGCAGGAGGCTGGCCAAGTGCACACATTCCTCTTGCTGTCCACAGCTGGAGGCCAGCGGTAGGTGGCCTTCCAGGCTGGCTGTAGAGCAGGGTCCTCTTCGTTGGTGCCCACAAGCCACCTAGGGCAACAAGGGACAAGTGACCGTGGGCCGAGGCCCAGGCTGGCTGTGGTCAACAGCCAGGTTTCCAAGGGCAACACTTAGTAAGGGGAGTAGGGCTCCCCCGGGGAGCACTGGGGGGGTGAAGGTGTGGCTGGGCCAGGGGGACAAGTAAGAAAAGGGATTCCTGTTTGAGGCCGGCTTCCAATTGTTCTTTCCTTTAGTTCCTTAGATGATACATTTCCTTTCCTTTTTTTTTTCTTTTCTTTCCTTTTGGCAATGCTTTAAAACCTGTTTTCTGTCCTGCAGAGCTACAGTCTTTCAGGGAGCCACAGCGATGCACCCGCAATGCTCGCTGCTTTTCCTCATTCAGCGGAGTCCACTAGGCCGGTGGTGGGGGCCATCTGTAAACCCTTATGGAGTCTACCCCCGGCAGACGTGTAGTGGGGGGAAGAGAGGAGCTTTATAGGTAAGAAAGCCAGCTGCACGGGCAGCCCAGGGCTCAAACCATGTGCCCCAGCAGACCCGTGCTGGCATCAAGCCAGGAAACCAAAGGCGTCTTTGGCAGAACCCTGGACTGATAAAGAGTCACCCTGGGGAGCACAGCCAGGGGACCCTTTGGCTCCTTGCTAGCAAGGCACAACCCTAGAAAGTCAGAAGCCCCTCCTCTCCTTCCCCGTTCCCTAGTGGACTCACTTCCTACGTGGGCCTTGAGTACCCTTTCAAACGGATGGGGCAGGGGTGTGAGCTGGTGAGGTGGGCAGGGGAGGGGCAGCACTGTCCTTCACCCTTAGGGCGGGAAGCCAGCACAGAATGGCTTTTCTGGGCAGCATGTAGGAAATCAGTAGAAAGAGACAGAAAAAAGAGAGAGACAAGGAAACTAGAAAGACAGAAAGGGAGAGTGCCTGGTCTGTGTAGTGATTTTTTTCCTCCAAGAAGAAAGAGAGGACTTGTTCCTTGCCTGAGGGTAGGGGCTGCCAGCTCTGAGGACTAAGGAGTCTGAGGGCTCCGGAAGCTGGGTCTCTGAGGTGGGGGTACTATTTGTAGGGCCTCAGGAAGCTGGACACTTTGGAGCGGAGCAGCTTGATGAAGGACTTTGGTAGCATTTCCTTGTGCTTCTCTGTGTACTTGAAGTAGTTCTGGGGGTGGGCCAGCACTTCAAAGAAGGCCTTGATGAGCTTCTTGTCCTGCAGGAGATGGCAGGTGGCAATGTCAGCCTTGGTGTCACGGGCAGGGAGGAGGAACACAGCCTCTTTCCAGCAGCCCCTCTTGATGTCCAGCGGCACCTCACACTGCACACCCCCAGGGCTGAACTCTGGTCTCCCATCCTCACCATCTGTTCCTTCTTTAGAATTCCACAAGTCCACAGCAGCCGCAGCCTTCTACTGCCCAGCCCATCTGTGGAGCCATCTTTGACCCCTGACTCTTGTTTCACAACTACAGCAAATCCTGCTGACTCGACCTTCGGGACATAGCCAGGGTCTGACCGCGTCTTCCCGTCTCCATGGCTACCATCCTGGGCCAAGCCCATCATCCCTCCCTTGCACGTCGTCATAGCCTGACTGGTCTCTGTGCATCTGTCCTTGACCCTCCACAGGCTATTCTCCCCACAGCAGCCAGAGTGACTTTTTGGGGTGTTTGATTAGTTCACTTTTTTCCTGGTTTTTTTTTGGAGAAGGTCTTCAACTTCTGGGTTTAAGCTACCCTCTTGCCTCAGCCTACCAAGTGCTAGGCTCCAGGAATGTGTCATGGCACCTGGATAAGATTTATTCTTCTTTTTTGGCAGGGCTCAGGAAAAAAAGCTGTGTCTCATGTGTGCTAAGCATTTGCTCTATCACTGAGCTGTACCCTTTGCCTCTCTGGATTCTTTTTCAGAGTAAAAGCCAAGTCCTTCCCATGGCACACTGGTGCCATGGAACCTCTGCCCTGCTCTCCCTTCCCCTGTGGAGCCACTCTGGGCTTCTTGAAGTTTCAAACATGCTAAACTCTCCCATGCTTCTTAGCATCTGACCCCCTCAAAGGCCTTTCCTGGTCTCCGTCTGTAACAGCAGAATGCCATGTGGAATGTCACATGCCGGGCATTAGAACTCAGATATCCTGGCTTCTGGGCTGGGGCTCTTTCCATCGCACCTGAGGATTTCTAAAACGGGAGGTGGGGCTCCCAGCCTCTCACCCCTACTCTGATCAGAACAGCTTTATTTAAAGCATTGGAGTTCCAAGGTATATTAGATTTGAAAGAATGATTCATGTGCTTTAAAAAAGTTTGAAAAGTATTGCCAGAATTATGTGCTTTGAAGTTTGTAGGTTCTAGGAGATTTTTGTCATCATGGATTTTATTTTGATAATATGGAAATTCTGTTACTATTAATAAAAATGGATTTTTTTGCAGTGGTAATTTATGAAGGATAATTTTGACTACAACTATAGTTTCTTTTTTTTTTTTTGGTACTGGGGATCTAACTCGGGTCCTCGTGCTTGCGAGGTAGGCAGCAGAACCACTGAGTTAAATCCCTGGCCCTACAATTATAGTTTCTTGGTTCCGCTGCCTGCCTTGCAAGTGCAAGGACCCGAGTTAGATCCCCAGTACCAAAAA